GTGTGTGTGTGTGTGTGTGTGTGTGTGTGTGTGTGTGTGTGTGTGAGAGAGAGAGAGAGAGAGAGAGAGAGAGAGAGAGAGAGAGAGAGAGTTATCAGGAGAAACAACGGCCACACTGATTCCAGCGCTGGAAGACCATAATAAGTATAATCAGATACCAACACAGAATAACAAGATACCAAAAAGTATAATAGATCGATCGTTGAAAGCACAATACACGATCTCCGACGCATTTCGTCCGCAGGCGTATACCGCAGACTCATCAGGGAGACTGGATCTTGAACAAGCGACACTGCTTGGTGAGAGGGTTATGGCCATCCCTCTCACCACTTAAATTTTTTTTTTCGCCATCCTAGCAACATCAAACTCCCAAGTCCCTCTCCTCGTCCTCACATAATTCTTGTTTTTTCTTTTTCTTTTTCTCTCCACTCAGACGATTCTCTCCCTACTCGTCCTTCCCGCCCACTTATCGCTTCCCTTCTTCTTCATAATAAAGTCGACTTCGATCCTTCTGTACTGAGTAAACATCCTACCTCTATCGCGTACCCTCACCTTCACCTGGTACGCAACGACTCCCTCGCAATTCCCAATCCCATTACCTCGTAGACAAGCTCTCCCCGTCTTCCTTACCTGTGCGTCAAACTCCCACATATCGCTCCACTCCCTTTCACCCCGTAGTGCACGAATCGCACCTCCCACTTCAGACATTCCCTTCAAACGACCCCCATCCCCGGCTATACTATATACTGCCATGACTATGTTTAGCTCCAACGCATATCTGTGTGCCAGCGTCCTCGTGAATCGGTATCGTCCTGTTCCGATCACCTAATTAGTACATCCACCCGTACTACGCATGGAAACATACTCTGCCTATTGATCCAAATAGAAGCTCCCGGGCCCCACCCTTCAGCCTTCACAAAAAGAGCGCAAAGATTTCAAAACTGCGTACGCAAAAAAATTAATCCACATACCGGGGAAATTCAAAAATTATCCCGCTTTTTTGCTGGCGGAAATATATCGAACTGGCATAAAAAAAAATTATGAGTAGAAACCCCTATATCTAAAGATATCTATGCAAATCGGGGTAAACTTTGAGGAGCGAAGCCCCCAAGTTACCACCGGCTACTCTGGCGAACCTAGCCAGAGATCCGAGAGAGACCTCCGGAGGTTCGACTCCATCCCTAATGCCGAAATAGCAGCAATCACGTCTTCTTCGTCAGTAGCAAGTCTGCTGACTCTTAGCATGCTAGATGTTAGCACTGTCCTCTTAATTTTTTTAAAGGAATAAGAGTCAAAATCCTGCATCGATTGAACCTTCAATTCCCCGCTACGCAATAGAGAAACCTCGTTCCTGGTTTTTGGAATAATCTTCACCTCAACTTGGCATATGTCGACCTGCACCACGGTTCCCAAAAATTCAAACGTATTCGTCCCTTCGTCTTTTCGTATCAGCTTTAGAGAACTGTCGTAGCAGTCTTCAAACTTCGACATAATCACCCCTGCTTTTTCCCAAGAATCGAGATGATCAGATCTTACCCCAACCAAAACTGCGACATCATCGATCATCCGCACACCTCTTATCATCCATCTGTCGGAACCAAGGGTCGATATGAAGACATATTCCGCCTTTGCACACACTAGGCAGGCAAGAGCTAGACTTGAATTTCTTCCCATTGGAATCCCTGATATCTGCCTCAGTACACACGATCCGCACTTCACATACGCATGATCCAAGTCATACATCACCATCCTTTTGATCTGCTGGAAACTGAGTGTAACGAAACCACACTCGTTACCCAAGTTTTTCGACATCTTACACTCCTTGCCTCTCCAGCTCACCTTCACCGCCCTCAGACCCTTCGCCTCATGGATATGTATGACCCACTCAACAACATCCATTACACTATCGTGCGTAAGCTTAGCGAACATATCCTTTATATCGAAGCTCCGAGCTAATACAGTATCACACTTCTTCCGAAAATAATCCTGATGCCTCTGCATAACCCCAAGCAACTCATCCATAGAGTTCAAATCAAAGTGTGCACTTCTTCGGATACAAAGGAGCATGAATCTCACTGCTCTTCCTACTCGTGAACTGGCCAACCTTGCAGGGTCACAGCCGGTAGGTGATATCGGTCGCCACCTGTTCAAGTCTTTGTCTTTAGGTAGGATATACGCATTTTTAATCCTTCCGGCCTTTCCCCATTCCGCGATCTTTCCCAAACCTTCCCGTTTGTAATCCTCCCTAGCCACCTTTAGTATCTCTTCATCCGAACCAATCTGCGGAAGGAAGCGGCCATTCCACAGAAAGGTCAACTTGTAAGAGTGAGAGTATAATGCTGGAGAAATCAACAAAGTACCCCCTGGATTCCTATCGATAGGAACAACAATCAGATCATGGAAATGGATAAACCATCTCAGTACTTCCTTTTCGGATATACCCGACTGATGGCGCATCACCCCTTCAACCGCTGACGCTGCCTTGGACTTATCTATACTAATTACCTTAGGTCTATCTTTCCCTCTCGTAATGTTTTTTGAGTTATACAGAAAACCAGGTACCAATTCCACATCGTTCAATCTAGTCATGATATGTCCCTGCGTTCGAGGCAAATCGATGGACTGGCAAGTACAACCCATATCTTCTTTCTTCACCCATGTCCGATGATTATGGATCAAATCTCCCACTGTCTTCCTTTTCATCACTACCACCCTGATTTTTTCCCCAACATAGTACTATACTTGTCTTCAAAAGCGGAGAAAACGGAACCTTCGCGTATGGCCGCTTCCTAACATCTTCTGCAAACTTATCTTTAATCACCTTGGCTATTTTCAACTTCAAGGAAGTGCATGTCTTCTTTCTTGAGAATAGGCCAGCCGTCCTATACAAGGCCAGCAGCTTCGTGGAGGTAAATCGGTAAGCGGTCTTGATATGATAAGGCCGAGTTAACAAATCTTTCAAAAAATTCTTGCGCGGTACGGTCGCTGAAGACACGATCTTTACCCTCACCACCTTGCATGGACCACCTTTTTCCAGCCTTGCTCTCGCATCCTTCAGACTTCCTTTCTTGCCTCCGTACTCGACCACTTATTCACCCATCTTGGTTCTTACTTTAGACCATCCTTCGGTCCACATCGCTCCACCCGATGAAACAATCACACCCTTCCCTCCTTCTACCTGCATCTTCTTCAGCATCTCAATCAAAGATGAGGACTTGACCCTGTTGTAGGTAAACATATTACTGACCCTTGCGCTCCACGCCTGTTTCGTCTACCCCTTTCCCTCTTCCCTTTTCTTTTCTTCTTCTTCGTACTCCCTTGTCCCTTCCCAATACTATTCAGCGCCGGGGAAAATCTTCGAATCAGCGTCGACTCAACCTTCATGAGATCGTCCATACCTACCACTATCGGTATAATCAGATATCTTTCCCATCCAAACCTCTTCAACCAAACGTGAAGCTTTCTAGCATTCCCGAAATTCCCAGATATTACACACCTTACGTGCTCAGCCCATCTTGTGATTACTTTCCTAATGGTACATCGAATGTAGATATGTTTGCACCACGGACTAACCACAATATACACACCGGTGACCCTCGTATCGACTTTCTCTACTGCCTCATCATCTATCACTCCCAACCATTTCTTCATCCATGGAAAAGCCCCCTTAACCAACAATAGTAGAAAGAGCCTCGTCACATGATTCTCAAGTTCCCAGTACACCAACTTTCCCAGGTTGCCCACCTCATCTTTCTTGTGCAACATACATCTCTCTAATTCCTCCATAGAACTCGGTACATTCACATCTATATCCCTCACTTCTCATTCAGAGGAGAAACGTCATCCTTCTTCTCAACAAAACCTTCGTAAGCTAATTTCGTCCTGCACCTTACCAGCTTGCATATGACTTCGTCTCTTTTTAACCACTTGATCCCTTCTCTACTGCATATCTTCCGTAGCTCTGGCACCTTCTTCGCAGACATCCTATTGTGTACCTCCAATGCATACTCAATCATCCCTTCGCTTGAGCACGCCGCCGATAGCCCCTTCATTGGTGTCTTCATGCCTTCCGCTTCTTGGGTTTGAATTGGTTCCGCAGGTGTACCATGTGCCCTCTTCCCAACCCGGTAAGATCTTTCGTCCTCTTCCACATGGACCGATTTTTTCCCGCCTTTCTTCCTCCTCTCAATAACATCCACCAACTTCCCTGCTTCCTCTCTTACCTCTTCACTCTCATCCTCCGACTCATCGATATAACTCCGAATCTCGCGCAGTATCCTGGCTTTAGATGTAGGTGACTTCTTCTTCACCGAGGATGGACCAGAAGTGACGGCGTAGTTCGTCCGACTCTGCTGGGCGAGCAGCTTTATTATCGAAGCTTCCAGCCTTGCCACTCTCGCCTCCGCTTCCCTCATCCGTCCTGACTCTCTCCTCTGTTCTTCTTCAACTCTCTTCCTCTCCATTTCTTCCCTTGCTTTCCTCTCATTCTCTTCTCTCTCCTTCTGCACTATCCTCCTGTAACATTCTCTCATTTCAATAGTCTCATTATCCACCAGCGCCTTCTGAGGAAACCTGCCAGCGGCTTGCCAACAATTCCTGGAGTAGTGTCCAGTTTTGCCGCAGATATAGCAGATAATATTACCATATCCACCCACTGGAGTTTGTCCAACCGTACCACCATTAATCGCTTGATTACCAAATTGCACTTGCGGGCTACCGCCAAACTGCGTCTGATTAGCCATTAGCCTCACTCCTTCTTCTGGTACTCCTCAGCCTACAATTTCTACTATCCCTGAGTATATACCCTACACTATAAACCCTCCCTAGTACTCTATCCAATTGGGAAAATAACTATGTTTTTAAATCTGCATCCCCTTCGTGAATCGTGATGTGTAGTATTGGCACCAATATATCCACTTCTCTCTCTAGATCAGCCCACAATCGTTCCAACTCTGATTCCCTTACTAGCCTCGTGTTCATGTTTCTAATTATCAATAGTCGGACCGTCTAGTTGACACCACCACTTTCGCTTCAAAATACCACGACTTACTCCCTTCCCATCTTCTCAATACTTGGCTTGAGACCGCCAGACCCACCAAAAACATAAACATGTAGCCTTTATACTTACCGGCTCTCCTTAATACCATTAGTGTGATCACCGTCCCCTTCAACGCATGAACTCTTCTATAATCACTCAACGTGAGTAAGACCTATCTACGCAGCACTGATTATTCCCGCACAACCGCTCCTTACATCTCACCACCTACACAATCCTTCGGCGGCCGCTAAGCTCAAATTCCCTCGAACGAGACTCTCTGTGTCTCTCACACCCTTCGTTTACCCACCCATCTATAAAGACCTCCTCCCTCCCTCAAAATGCCGAAAAAACCGAAAACTATTCCTATCACCCGGCCAATCCCTTCACCATATCCACCTTTCAGAGAACCCTCGCAGCAAAGAACAACCGCTTCGAACAACAGCAGAGAACACACGTAGCCACCAAGTCTTCGACGAAGCAAAGCAGGTTACCACGGTCACTGAGTTATCAGGAGGAACAACGGCCACACTGATTCCAGCGCTGGAAGACCATAACAAGTATAATCAGATACCATCACAGAATAACAAGATACCAAAAAGTATAATAGATCGATCGTTGAAAGCACAATACGCGATCTCCGACGCGTTTCGTCCGCAGGCGTATACCGCAGACTCATCGGGGAGACTGGATGTTGAACAAGCGACACTGCTTGGTGAGAGGGTTATGGCCATCCCTCTCACCACTTAAATACTTTTTTCGCCATCCTAGTACTACCCATACTCACCCAACATCAAACTCCCAAGTCCCTCTCCTCGTCCTCACGTAATTCTTGTTTTTTCTTTTCCTTTTTCTCTCCACTCCGACGATTTTCTCCCTACTCATCCTTCCCGCCCTCTTATCGCTTCCCTTCTTCTTCATAATAAAGTCGAGTTCGATCCTTCTGTACTGAGTAAACCTCCTACCTCTACCGCGCACCCTCACCTTCACCTAGTAGGCAACGACTCCCTCGCAATTCCCAATCCCATGACCTCGTAGACAAGCTCTTCCCGTCTCCCTTACCTATGCACCAAACTCCCACACATCGCTCCACTCCCTTTCACCCCGTAGTGCACGAATCGCACCTCCCATTTCAAACATTCCCTTTAAACGACCCCCATCCCCGACTATATTATATACTGCCACGGCTATGTTTAGCTCCTGCGCATATCTGCGTGCCAGCGTCCTCGTGAACCGGTATCGTCCCGTTTCGATCACCTAATTAGTACATTCGCCCATACTACACATGGAACCATACTCTGCCTATTACAAGTTTGATCCAAATAGAAGCTCACGGGGCCCACCATTCGGCCTTCACAAAAAGAGCGCCAAGATTTCAAAACTGCGTACGCAAAAAAATTAATCCACATACCGGGGAAATTCAAAAATTATCCTGCTTTTTCGCTGGCGGAAATATATCGAACTGGCATACGAAAAAATTATGAGTACAAACCCCTCTATCTAAAAATATCTATGCAAGTCGGGGTAAACTTTGAGGAGCGAAGCCCCCCAGTTACCACCGGCTACTCTGGCGAACCTAGCCAGAGATCCGAGAGAGAGAGAGAGAGAGAGAGAGAGAGAGAGAGAGAGAGAGAGAGAGAGAGAGAGAGAGAGGTATCTGTGTAAGAGATAGAGATGGGTGTGTGTGTGAGAGCAAGA